AATCTTATTAAGAACCAACGTGTATGTCTCACTAGTGATACATGGACATCACTACAAAACTTAACTTATATGGTTATTACTGCACATTGGATAGTTATTTTTTACATTAATTAATATTTAAATATGTTAATTGTTTCTTCTTTTTTTTTCCAGAATATGTAGACTCGCCTTGAGGATTGATTAGAGAGATGATTAACTACAATTTGCTTCATGACTATTTTGGAAGTGAGGTCATTATGCCTTTACAAGTATTTTGGAAACATGCTCCTCTGGTTGTAATATCTACTAAGATGCCCAACTTCTTAGAGTTTAATATATTCTCTTTTTGTTTATTTTTTAGGACTCTTGGGTGTAATGTCTACTCTTAAAAAGTTGGTGATAATTCTTATGTAGAGTGCAATATGATATGCAGTTTATATTTTTGCTGATAATTTTCTCATTCTGCCTACTTCCTAATGGATGGGAGGCAAGGGCTAGGAGGTTAGCTAACAGGGACGTAAAAAATAGATAAATGGACAAAGCTGACCAAAATATATGTAGTGAGAAAACTCTTTATTTTCGTTGTATTTTCGTATTAGATACAGACCTAATTAATTAGTTGTCATAATCACAATGAAGCTCCTTGCTTTTTGGTCTTCAGTGTATATCCTTTAAAGAAGGCCTAGGTGGCGATTATTACACCACATAACAAATTTACTTGTTAGAACTTATACATCAATAAGTTTTCTTGTAACTGTACATCTTTTTAGTTAAGAAGAAAGAGGTAGTTAGTTCCCTATAATTGTTTCTAGAAAATGACCCCAACCTTCGTGAACTTTGTGTGATAAAGTTAGATTATTTTTGCTTTTAGTATCTTTTAATGATTTTTATAAGTACTCCACTTAATCCTATGAATGGTCAGTAAAATAAGGAATATGACTACAAGGAACAAAAGGAGAATAAAGAACATGCATAAAGTATAGTTGAGGTCAATGCTAAAAAATAAGAAATGGCTGTTATTGGTAAAATTGTATTTAGGACTATAGAAATATTTGGAGCACAAGTTTATCGGAACGAAAAACCCGAAAAACCCGAAAAACCCGAGAAAACCCGATATTAAAAAACCCGACTTTTGTTGGTTTGGTTTGATCTATAGATTTAAAAACCCGATACAATTGGTTTGATTTGGTAATTGCAAAATCCGAACCAACCCGACCTATGTACACCCTTACCCAATATTAAATATACAAGAACATTCTCTCAGCTCTCTAACATATTCTCTTGATCTACTTATTGCTTATATTCGTTGTGTTCTATTTATTGTTCTTCATTTATTGCTTATCATTGATCATAAAGAGCCATCGTCGCTCTCATCACTGTTATTCCTCCCTCGATCGCTCTAAGTCGGCCATCTGACTTGACCTCGAAGCCCCATATACGCTAGCTCGAGGCCCAGATTTTCAGCCGTTATGTTTGACTATCACATTGTTTTTAAGCTATAATCTTGCCTTCTAATCTTTTATTTAGCATCTATTACCTAACCACCACAAAATCAAATTTAATTGTTATTATCATTTTTACGGCAAACAAAAGTCATTGTGTCCAATATGAAGGCTATACCTGGGAGGACTAATATTTCATTAAATTCCAATTCCCTGCGTTTGAACCTTTAGGACAAAGCTATGTAAGACACATCCTCATGAAGTTTGGCAAAGATTAACCTCGATCATTATACTTCTAGTTCTATATATATTTCAAGTCCTTTTGTTAGAGTAGCTGACGTAGAGATGTATACGGGTCGGGATGGTTCAAATTTTTAATTACCAAACCAAATTAATAGTGTCAGGTTTTTAAATCTATAAACCAAACTAACAAAGTCAGGTTTTTCAATTTCAATTTTTTCTAATTTCGATTTTTTTCGGATTATTGGATTTTTTTCCGATAAAGTCTTCATAGCACAAAATATTTAACTCGTGCTCCAAATATTTTTTTTAGTCCTAGCAAGATATAACTATATTTATATATTTTAAAAGAAAATAAACAATAATATAAGATAGGTCATAACTTTATACTAAAATATTCAGCAACAAAAATAATAAAATTACATAAAGCAAATATTGCTAATTAATTATAATCCATAATAAAAATTAACATAATCTAAAAATATTATATAGCTCATGCTAAAATAAGTATAGCTAATAAGCACAATATTAATTACATAACTTAGCACTAAAAAAAAGATAAATTAAGTTATGCATTTTCATTATAAACCAATATAACACTAAAAAGTAGATATTCAACACTATCGACATTCCTAGTGTTGAATAAATTTTTAGTGTTAGTATTAGTGCTGATTTGAACTTTATTTGAGTTACTATATTTATGAGCTATAAAATTTATTATCATTCAAGAATGTTAAGTCCAAACTTGAATAATATGTTGCAGGATAAAACTATAAAAAAGTTTAAGAAATATTTATTAATTACAATACAATATTTTTAAAAATTGTATAAATATATTATCGGGTTGGTTTGGTTTCGGTTTGACTTTCTTTAGTTAAACCAAACCAAACCAATTATGGTCGAATTTTTTTTCCAGTACCAAATCAAATCAAACTACAACAATTTTTTTTTTTTCTGATTTAACTTGGATCATCCATTTGGTGCAGTTTATCAGTTTTTCTTGTACACCCCTAAGTTGATGTCATCTAGAAGACGCTTGTCTTCTTAGGTACCATCGTAACGAAAATGCAGAGCCTAAACTCTGCCATGCATATATATTGGAATATGAATGGAAAAGCATATACATATTTGTGACACGAGGGTAACATGAGAAGTTTAAGTTAAATTATTTTTAATATTAGAACCAACTCATTTTTTAGAACAGATTAAAAATAAAATAGGGGTATATAAGCTAGAATTGAGGGAGTAATTCTTATGGAACTTAATACGTTGTATATGATTCAATTTAATTAATTATTCCACCTTAGGTGTTACTTGTTAGAGAGGTTAATTATGCATTAACCACGCACTACCTGTATATCACTAACCACATGCCCTTCAATAATTACAACGACACAAAGGATAAAATCATAAAAAGCTATACGGTGATTACACAGTCAAGAGAGAATGACTCTCTTTAAGAAAAATTCTAAAAATTTAAGTTGGAGCCTAGACATAGTTGATTGTTTCTTTGATTGTTTTTTTCTTTTCTATACTAAGGTTCCAAGTACGTTAACTACACGATAGTTTTCGATTGGAGAAATTTTTTAAGAAAAAAAAATTACAAAAGGAATTTGTGTTTGATTAAATACTGCTTTAAAGAAGTTTTACGAATGCGTTGAAAAACAATAGCTCCAAGACACTTTTCTTCTACAAAATTTATTTCAATGATTCTTGTTTCGGAAAATTACAAACAAATACCCAAGCAAACTTTATAGTCAAATGCTAAAAGATGGCCACGGTTGTTTATGCAGTTTGAGAGGCCCTTGAATCTTTTTCTCAATAACTTTTTTTAATTCGTTCAGAAGAATTTATCCTCTTTTACTGCCATTCCACGCAATATATCTTTTGAACGAGTAATAGTTATTTTCGTGCTCAAGATCTCCTTTTGACACAGAATTCAAGCATCTCACATAATATTATATCATTTCTTGAGGAACATGTGTAACCTATTAGTTTAGGGGTTCGAGCCATGGAATTAGCTTCTGATACTTGTATTAGGGTAGGTTCTCTACATCATACCCCTTGGGGTGCAACCCTTCCTCGGACCATGTGAATGTCATGGGCGGCTTTCCAGCCATGCCTCATGACCCCTTGGGCGCACCCTGTGGCGTCCTAGCAAGCCTCCCAACACCTAGAGCGACGGACATCCCCGTGGTCTTGGCTGCGCCAAGTGATAAGCGCGCATGTGCGCCCCACCGATATCCCTCGCCAGCGCCCAGCCGCATGCAAATGCCAACAGCGCCGCGCGCCCAGATCGGGATGCCAAAGACAATGTTGCTGACAACGGACCTGTTTCTGCCTTGTAGAAAACTAAGTCCTTTTCATTGTAAATATAGAGTAGTTTTATTTCATGTACTTCCATTATGTTTCTCTAGCTTAGTTAAGTCTTGTCTTATAACTTTGGTTTATTTTTCTAAGCACTACTAGGGGGGATCAAGCAATCAAACTTTCTAGCAAGCAAACAATTCTCTGTACTGGTATCTCTCCCCCTCGACACCGCGTTGCCTTTCTGTAATAGCTTTCACTAATGCAATCAAGCTTTCTTTCATTCTCAATTCTCATTTTTGTTCTCTCAATTACTCTTGACATTGGTTTTCCCGTACGACACTAACAATCTCATCTAGCGTATGGAGGGAACTTCAGTTGGTGGATAGTAACTGCACTGACATCAGTTGCTTAGCCTTACGTCGCCCTTCCAAGAAATCTGAGGAAGGCATTGTGTAACAGTTGGTATCAGAGCATGGGCTCAATATCGGACGAGGGAACATATTTTCATTACCACCATTTCTACCATGGCGCCTTACAAAATGTCACAACCCGAACTCACCGAGCTTCGGAGACAATTGACGAAAATGCTAGACATAGGGATCATTGTGCCCTCAAAGTCCCCATACATGCCCCCTGTTCTATTCCAAAAGAAACATGATGGCAGCCTGCGACTCTATGTGGATATCAGGCTCTAAACAAAATCACCGTGAAGAACAAGTACCCTATTTCGCTAATGGCAGACTTGTTCGATAGACTGGGTGGTGCAACGGTGTTCACCAAGATAGACCTGAAGGCAGGTTATTGGCAAGTTCGGATTGCAGAGAGTGATGAGCACAAGACGACCTGTGTGACAAGATATGGGTCATACGACTTCCTGGTTATGCCGTTGGCTTAACTAATACTCCAGCCACATTTCGCACCCTGATGAATCAAGTCTTCCGAGAGTACATAGACGAATTCATGGTTGTCTATTTGGATGACATTGTGGTATATAGACAAACACTTGAAGAACACCTGTAGCACTTGCGGATGGTCCTAGCCCGATTGCGGGAGCACAAACTATATGCGAAGCTGTCCAAGTGCTCATTTGCTCAAAAGCAGATTGACTTTCTCGAACATATCATCAAGGAAGGTCGGATCAAGATGGACCAACAGAAGATTCAGGCAATCACAGATTGGCCACCGCCTAAGGATATCCACGCCTTAAGGGCATTCCTTAGCCTATGCAACTTCTATCGGCGATTTGTGAAAAACCACTCCCTCATCGCAATGCCATTGACAGAACTCCTCAAGAAGGTCATGCCTTGGGATTGGGGACCCAGGCGAGTGGAGGCCTTCAACGCATTGAAAGCGGCTATGTCTAGTAGCCCCATCTTGGCCCTCCCTGATTTGGCCAAGCCATTCGAGGTACAAACGGATGCATCCGACTATGCCCTCAGCGAAGTCTTGCTACAAGAAGGGCATCATGTAGCGTACGATAACCAGAAGCTGAAGGATGCAGAGCGACACTATACTGCCTATGAGGAAGAATTATTGGCTGTCGTCCATTGCTTGCGTCTTTGGAGGCACTATCTGCTGGGGACCCCATTCGTGGTCAAGACAGACAACACAGTTGTTAGCCATTTCATGACCCAGCCGAAGCTGAATGGTCGACAGGCCAGGTGGCAGGAACTCCTAGCTGAATTCCACTTCAACCTGGAGTATTGAAGTAGGAAGACCAATCATGTTGCTGATGCGCTCAGTCGGAGAGCTGATCTAGCATCAGTATGCCTACTCGCCACCTAAAGGGGAGCGAAGTAGCCACCACCATCAAGGACCAGACACAAGATCTACTCATCAAAGATCCTGCTACACAGTATTTGGTTGATTTGGTAGGACAGGGCAAGACTTGCTAGTTCTACATGGAAGATGATTTTCTAAAAGTGAAAGGGAATCGACTTTATGTTCCTAAAGTAGGAGATCTGCAAAGGACTCTTCTGGCGGAATGTCATGATATTTTATGGGCCGGCCATCCCGGTGAAGAACGCACCATGGCGTTACTTTGCCGTGAATATTATTGGCCTCAAATGGCCGATGATGTTGCTCAGTATGTGAAAACTTGTCTAGTATGCCAGAAGGACAAGTCGGACCGCTTGACACAAGCGGGACTCTTGGAACCACTAGTTGTCCCAAAGGGATATTGGGAAAGTGTTTCCCTAGATTTCATCATCGGATTGCACAAGGTCGGAGATCTCACAACTATCTTGGTTGTAATGGATCGATTTTCCAAGTATTCCACCTTTATAGCAGCCTCACAATATATATCAACAGAAGATACATCTCGACTCTTCTTCTCTCATGTCGTCAAATATTGGGGCCTGCCCAAAGACATTGTTAGTGATCGCGACTCACGCTTCACTAGAAACTTTTGGACCAAACTCTTTAAGTGCCTCGGGTCAAAATTGAGTCACAACTCAAGCTTTCATCCACAATCTGATGGCCAGACAGAGCGATTCAATGGTACGTTGGAGGAATATCTCCGCCACTTTGTAACCGGATCGTAGAAGAATTGGGTGAAGCTTCTAGATGCTCCTCAACTGTGTTTTAATTCACAAAAGAGCTCTAGTACAAACAAAAGCATTTTTGAAATTGTTACCGGACAACAACCTCTACTCCCACACACCATGAATGCATCAAACATGTCTAAATCTCCTCGAGCTGCTAGCTTCTCAAAAGAATGGAACCAAAATTTGGAGATAGTGAAGAGCTATCTCGTCAAAGCCCAAAAACGGATGAAGAGGCATGTTGATCAAAATCGTTGTCACACCTCCTTTTTACTACACCCCCGGAAGAGAGTATATAAGGGAGTTTTTTCCAACTTAAAGTGACAATCGAAACGGGATTAATTTATTAAAAATTCAAAGTCGCCACTTGGGATAATTTATGGTGTCCCAAGTCACCGATTCAAATCCCGAATCGAGGAAAAGATTGACTCTGTATTACAATCCGCGAACAAGAAATCCGGGTAAGGAATTCTGCTAACCCGGGAGAAGGTGTTAGGCACTCCCGAGTTCCGTTGTTCTAGCAAGGTCGTTCAACTATTATATTCGGCTTAATTATCTGATTTTAATACATGTTTTAGCATATGATACATTTTAACTTTGAAACCGCTTTTAATTTAAATATTTTTAGGAAGATTTCAACGTTACTTAAAATACGTGTTGAACCACGTCACATAAATGCACCTGCGGTCCTCGACATATTTTATCTAACATTGTTGAGATTTGGATTTAGGTCACATAAATGCACACCCGAGTTAAGGAATGTAAATTATTAAAATAACGCGCCTGAAGCAACTACGCATTTTCAACTTTGTGAGGGCCATGGAAAATTCGCTAAATGGCACACCTCGAATTCTAAGGATTAAAATATTAACTGAGCGAGGGCCATGCATTTCAAGATTTTATTCGGCACGGCACGCTTCAATCCCAATTTTAAAGGAAAACTCAAACTAAACTTTGAGGGCTATTAACTATGTCTTGCCTAATATAGCACGCTTCAAAACCATTCAACTAAATGAACTAAGAATATTCATGTTTAAAACTAGTTCGAAATTAAGTACCACGACTACGTCACGGGAACCGTACCCGTAATCACGATAATTTATTAATCGTGCCTATAAAAAGGTTACATTTCCTAAAACCACTTTATTGAACAATAATCTCATATCAATTATAAGTCATATAACTTATTCAACTTCTAAAATAATGCCTATTCACGTCATTGTCTTAAGTTGGTAATTTGTCTAGAAAGAGATTCATCCGACTGTTAACAATTTGACTGGCTCAATGAAGCAAAGATGATTCGGTCGAAATAATTTTCCTCTCATGTACTTTCAGAAATATTTTCCTCGACTGTTAATTCATTTATTGCAACAATCTTAGTAATTTAAGCAAAATTCTGTAAGCATTCATTTATCCCTGATGCAAACGTGAAAGCTAATAACTCAAAAATATCACACAATACCAAAGACATATAAGCAGGTTTCATTTTGGGACATAGAACAAAATATTCATCAACTAATTTAGAATTTAAAAGAAAGGATGCGAAGAAATGAACCTCAAATAGGTCTGAAATTCAATTGTTTGACAGCTTTGAACTCAAAAAATGTGACGAACCGCGGACGGAAACTCGAAACCGAACACGACCTCAATCTAACTCCAAAAGCTGAGATCAAAATACAGATTCGATTAACATTAGCGCCATCTCCAATGCGGAGTCCAAGATATTGCTCGAGCACCCCAAAATCAAACATTCTAGAAGTATTTGTATTGTTTGCGTCTGTGCCCATGAGATTAGAAACAGGTATCTGAGAAATGAAACTTGGCATCCAAGTAGTACCACTCCTATTGCATGCTGTACCAATCTTACTTACTGGCAAAATTGAAAGACAATTCCTTCAAAGCCTCCCTATTAGTTCCAACGTAAGCAACAACAGCTTCATCACTGAATACATTGTGACAGAGTTTAGCTCGTCAACTGCTCTACAATCAGTGGCAAGATGTCCGACTGCAGAATTTCCAATCCACGAAATCTGTCCGAGAAATAGCAGCAAATCCGGACAGAAATCACGAACTTAAACCTCGACCGACATCTCGCGCTCGTCAGGTCCAAACGAATCTCACGCACGAGCTCCGAAATGGACTCAAATTAACGAAATTCCAGCAGCAAAAATAAGGCTTAAGATCTAAAATTAGCTTTCCGATTAATTGAAATGCAGCAATTACACGGATTGAAACGAAGCGACAATTACAGTCAGAAATCGACACAGCTTCAAACGAAATCAGTAAAAATCGAACCGGAAAACCAACGGACAGTACCTCGACGCCTCCGGCGACCTTGAATTTGAACAACGACCCTAAAACTTTTTCCTTTCAATCTGGTTTTCTGATTTTCGCTCGAAACTGGATCATGAACGAAGAAACCAATTTTGTCTATGGTGGAGATGGTCGTTCATGTCTGTTCCGTGTCAAGAAGAAGAAGCAACGGCGATGGGATTTTTGATTCCGCCGAAGAAAAAGCAGTGGGTGAGTCTGTATTGTTCTCCGCGACGCTCAGTTTTTTTTTTGCAGAGTGCATAGGCGTTCGTTTTGTATGTGTTGTTTTCTTTCTTTGATTTAGGCTTACCCCTATTATATAGGTCTAGGTCTATATGTGTATTTTTTGTGTATTTTGCTAATTAGTCCCTAGATCTTTTTGTGTTAAGTCTTTACGGTCTTTTTTATTTGTTTTTGTTTTAAAGAAAAGTCTAGAAGGGTCGCTAGGCTTAATGGACTAATCTGAATTGGGCCAAGAATTGGGCTCTAAAACTCTTAAAATTGTGATCCAACACCTTAATGGACTCCTTTTAAAATAAGATAAAAATACTATTCAATCCAAAAGCTAACATAAAACTATTATGTATTTTTGTATTTTCAAGATTATGTAAAGATAAAAATAAGGTACTATTTTTGTATATATTTTTATTTAAATTTATGAAAGATACGTAAGCTAAAATATTTTTTTGTAATTTTCCATTTTCA